TTTTTGTTGAGGCCACATAAAAGTACAATTTATATGTGAGTCAAAATATTGTTACACATTTAAAAAAAAAATAAAGACATATAATCCACTTTATTTTATAATTTGAAAAGTTATTCATTGTATTATATTTATTTATTTAATATTTTTTTTTTTTTGAATTGAACTTCAATTGATCGACTTCATAAGTAATCATATCTTGTTCCCAGTAAACGGATGCATCCAAACTCGTTTAACAATTAATTGATGAATTAGACATGGATATTGGAGTTAGGTTGATTTTAGCAACTTGAGGAGCGAGGACTCAGGTTGGATTCTCATTTTATAAACAGGGGAGACCTACACCGTACCTAGCTATTTAACAATTGACAAATTTAACAACTTTGATAGATACATAAAATAGTATTATATATATAGTTCTTTATCCGTTCATATAATTCTCCCCACAATATGCCTCACTAAAATTAAGTAAGTGAGAAGAACAATATGAAAAGAGGAAGTGATTTTTCCTTGTTAAGCATCATATAGTAATCATTGATGTTGTTCGGTAGAGTTATAAGTCGGTAAATCTAAAATGTATACACCAATTAGCTGCCACCCCTTCATTTTGAGTATACGGCCTAGCGCTAAATTACACAAATCTTAACATTTTCTTTGCTATATCTATATATTCTACTTTTGTAAATGCATGATCAGTTTCAGTTAAATTCCTTATGAACTCGTTGCCTTTTGACTTCATATGATATGTCTTCAACCATTAATCCAAATAATGAAGTGAGGTTTTTTAGAATACTCGTATATAATTAGTAAACTAAAATAAAATACTAAATAAGTGGAAAAATGTACTATAAAGTTAGGCTTCTAGAGTTTATTATTTATTAACCTTCAATCTCTTTTCTTAATGTTTCAAAATTACAAACTTCTCAAAAGGCCTCGACAAAAGCACATTCCAAATTAAATTTTGTCAAAACTCATATCAGTAGTCTATATACGGAATACAAGTATATATCTTGACTTTACAAAACTAATCCATATTCGATTATCCATTTCGAGGCTCAAACTCTATTCAAATGAGTCTTACCTGAAAATGACCCATTCCAAACCCAACCCGAGTGACCTGATTGCCTTTTTTTTTTTTCCATCTGGATTAGAGTCTTTGAGTTTAAATTTCTCTAGTTTGCTCCTATTTGAGCTTATCTACCTTTTAGGATAGATTGAACATAATCATAATTGTTAGTTAACAAATATGCATAAAAAAATTATCAAGTATTCTTGTTAGATTCATCTTAATGTGTTCTTTCTAAATATTAGTTTTTTTTTTTTTTTTTTTTTTTTTTTTTTTTTTTCACAATTAGTATTAACATAAAATTTAGCAATAAGCAACTTAAATGTTTTGGTTTGAGTATTTATGTTTCCTCTGATTCATATTACTCATAACAGTTCAACTTAAATACTTGCTAATTCACGAGGTTGATAATTGATACTCCCTCCGTGTTTTAATAGGTGTTACACTTTCTTTTTTTGGGAAAAAACTACATTTTAATATTATATCTCTCTTCTCTTATGGTCCCCATCCAAACTCACTACTACTTTTTTTTATATTTTTTTCCGCTCACATTCATTACTTTTCAATATATTATTAACCCCACTATCTTTCTTTTACAATTTTATAATACTCCAACAACCCCACTTACCTCTTATTTTATTCAAGTCAATTAAATTGCCTAAAACTATATACTGGTCAAAGTATAACACTTATTAACACACGGAGGGAGTATAAGTAATTATCAAATTATGTACTCAGTATTAACAGGAACTGTTAATTTTAGGGCTCCTGGGCTGGTCAGTTTATTATCGAACAAAACTGTTAGGCCCAATAATATTAAAAAACAATCTTTCATTAAATGGGCCTCTATGTAATAGATAGGCCCATTCATACAAGAAACTATGATTGAGATGGGCCTTTGCATCCCAAACTCAATCCAAAAAGATATTGGGTTTCCCGGTTTTAAAATCAAACATTTGATATGTCACGTATTCAAAAAATAAAATACATTTGGACTGTCTTACTCAAAAATTGTTGTACGTAGTGATGAATTAAGGACAGAGTGTTTTTATTATGGATTACAATCATACTTACTTATATATTATTAAGATATTTCTTCTCAATTTTACGTCGTTTTTTCAATCTTTAATAAAAAGATATCCTATGAATAAGCAATGTAAATAAGAATACGAGTCTACTTCACCACACAATAGTAAATGTTTTGTTTATTTTTGCGATATTGATATGTGAGACACTTTTTTCCTTATCAAAATTTTCATCCTTAACGTATTTTTTAAGGAAAAGGTCGGCCATTCTATTGACTAAGTAGTGTTCGAAGGATACAATACTCCCTCCGTTTCTATTTGTTAGTCCTATATACTATTTTGGGTGTTTCAAAAAGATGTACCCATATTGAATATATTTCATTTTTAACTTAATTTTTCTTTCCTATTTTATCTATATTGAACATATTTTTAAGCTTGTAAATTGAATGTAGATTGGTTAATAAATGTCAAAAGAATTATGATTGATTAGATTAATTGATTTAAATTTGGATTGATGACATGACTCTAAATTTGAAAATCCCTCACTTGAATTATGCAATTATGGCGGATGCTTTCCCAAAAAAATCAAAAAATTTAAATAAGTCAAAACTAATTATGAATTGTTTTTGTACTTTAATGTTAGATTCCAAATATTTTTTTTTCTTATTTTATGTGATTGATTTCCATATGAAACTATCATATAGAAACGGAGGAGTACAATTAAATCAATTATTCATGGAACACTCCATTTAACCAAAGCTCATAACAGTAACTAGTCATGACCTAATAATAATGGAACAAATTAAACTTGTGTATGGACTTATGGAGTCCATTACAAAGCTTTGATAATTGCACAATTACAACAAATATATGATAGTTTTACCTAATACATGTCCTTATCATATAATAGGTTAATTAGAAGCTAATAATTATCCATTTACGTAGCTAAGCTCTAAACAAGGCAAGTTAAGAGGCAACCAATGGTAATCAAATATACTCTCGATTAACCCTGTACAAAGTTTAACCATAATTCAAGTCTTTGACTTTTTCATCAACTCCCATTTCAATAAGAAACTTGCAATAACTATGTTGAACTTGTGTTCGTTTTAATGCTATACACATAGGCTACTAAAATTTTACAAGTCACCCAAATAAAATTTCTTAATGAAAAGGAAATAAATCAATAATGCATCTATAGCTTTTGAAATTTGATGACTCGTTATTTTGAGATTTCGAGTTGTTGGAACACTATTCTCTTCGCCTCTCAATCTATCTCTATGTACTCCCTTCTTTTCTTTATACGACCTGTCTATATAATAAAACTTTTAAATTATACTCCGTATGAGCAAGTAAATAAAATTTAGACTGGTGATGTACTCCTTCCGTCCCATTATTTAGTGCCTGTATTCCTTTTTGGGTGTCCTAAAATATTGTGTCTGTTTCTAAATATAGTACATAATCATTACTTACTTTTTATCTTTCCCCATACAAAATACACATATACCCAAAAAAATCATTACTCCCTCCGTGTTTTAATAAGTGTTTACAGTTTGACCGGCACATAGTTTTAGGCAATTTAATTAACTTAAATAAAATAAGAGGTAAGTGGTAGTTAGAGTATTAAGAAATTGTAAGAGAAAAATAGTAGGGTTAATAGTTTATTGAAAAGTAATGAATGTGAGAAGAAGTATAATAAAAAAAGTAATAGTGAGTTTGGGTGGGGACCATGAGAGGATAGAGATATAATATTCAAAGGTAACTTTTTGCCAAAAAAAAAAGTCTAACACTTATTAAAACACGGCCGAATTTGGTAAGTGTAACACTTATTAAAACACGGAGGGAGTACTTATTTTTTTTTTTTCATACAATATTCTCTACTTTTTATTATTCCTATATAATATCCTCTACTTTTTATCTTTTCAATAGAATATTTCTCTAATTTCACCATTCTCCTTAATTACTGTGTTTTTTTATAGACACGAAATTATGGAACGGAGGGAGTAATAATTAAATAAAAAAAAAGTGAGTAGGATGAGTTTGATCAGCTAGGCACATGGCTACCAAGTCCTAGTAAGGGACACTTGGTTATCTCATTTTACCCCTAAACGTAGGTCTAAACAGAGTAAACACAAAAAATTCTCTTGTTGATCATGAAGCTAGCTTAGTTTGATGTAAACCAATTGAATGAGTAATAAACTAACATCTTCACGTAGGAAGGTCCTAAATTATGGGCATGCCTCTTAATACTATGTTAAATACGGGTTTGAACCACATCTATCATTAAGAGAGAACTCACTTCACAAGATCAAAAGAGGATCCACTTCAAAATCATTTGATAAAAGAGTAGTCTCTTAGCCTTACTTAACACTCTCTTCTTTCATCAATATGGGACATAACTCACATGTACGTGTTGTTTAAGAAGGTCATGCTTTAACAAAATCATACTTAGGCCACAAAGTACATAGTCTATATACTTGGAAGGGCCATACTCATGCATGGCAAAATGGCAAATTAAAAATATTTTGAAAGATATCTGCTGATGCAATAACTATAATTAATAAACTTACATAACTTCTAGAAGTTCTTGAGATAAATGGGCCATGCATACCGTAATATTTACATCACGTCCTCCATCTTTTTAATGTAAAGAAAGCCACAAATAACAATGTAATTTAATGACGACATAGAAGTAATTCGATCTTGAATGCCATCTTTCGCACTTTAATTGGCTAAACAATTTGACATCCGCCTCACCATTTATTTTGATTGCTAAAGAGTTCTTTAAAAGGTCTTTTTCTACAATTGATTAAAAATATTTGAATGTGACACTTAAATATTTTTAAATCAATATAGCCTATGTTAAACCACTCGATCCGTACCAAATAATCGTTATAAATACAATCACTCCCTTAGCTAATAGCCTTACTCTTCAGTTGTTGCTTAATTTGTGTTCTACTCTTCTGTTTGACTGTTTCTCAACCTTAACCTTTCTTTTGGTTTTTCTTTTTGCTCTCTACTAAATTAGCTAACCTTAACTACAATGGAGTCCTACTTCCGTCTCCTATCGATATTCGTTGTTCTCTTTGTAAAATTCTCAATCCTAGCTAGCCTTTTAAACACTTGTTATACTTACAATATGTTACGTACATTTTATTTAATACGAAGTATTATGATGATTAGAGAGAAACTAATTAAAATCCTTTATTTTTGTTTTAGGTTGGACTTGGAGTTACAAGTCACGGAGATTCATCCTCAGAAGAATACTGGAAAAAGATGTTGCCTGATACTCCTATGCCTAAAATCATCGAGGACTCTTTAAAGTCAGGTTAGTACATTATTATATACAAGTTAATTTATTTTAATAATTTGTACATTAGTGACTACTACGCTAAAATATAGTTGTAATCTTTTGTAAACTTATTATAATATATCATCGTTATTAATTACATATACCAATAAGCAAAAAATTGAATTTGTAGGTTTAAAATTTCGGATTATCTATGGATTTTAAATTGCCTATCATATATATGTATATTGTAAAGTCCTTAATGTTTGTGTCTATTATTATTTGACATTTTAAATCTACTAACTATATATCATGCTTGTTACATACACCATTGTTACTAGAGGGTGGCACGGGAGTTCATGTAGGAAGCAAAGGAGTTGATGTGGATGTTGGGAAACCAGGCAAAGGACCAGCCGACGTTCACGTTGGCAAAGGTGGAACATCCGTAGACGTCGGTCCAAAGGGAAAACACGTCTCAGTCGACGTCCACCACAAAGGCAAACCATCACCTTTTGTTTACCAATATGCTGCAACCAAGACTCAGCTCCAATATAACCAAAGTGTAGCCCTATTTTTCCAAGAAAAAGACCTTAAACCCGGAACTCACATGAACTTACACTTCACCAAATCCACCAACGGAGCTCCCTTGCTGCCCCGTGAAGTTGCTAAATCAATTCCCTTCTCGTCGAAGAAACTACCCGAGATTTTGAGCCGGTTTCACGTGGAAACGAACTCACAACAAGCACAAGACATGGAGGAGACTATCAAGGAGTGTGAAGCCAAGGGCATCGAAGGGGAAGATAAATATTGCGCGACTTCCTTAGAGTCTATGGTTGATTATGCTACTACTAAGCTAGGAAAAAAATTGGACACCGTCTCTACTTATGTAGAGAAGGATAACAAGATGCAAAAGTACGATTTTACGGGTGTCAAAAAGGTACCATGCAAGCGGGCAATAATATGTCACAAAATGTTTTTTGCTTGTGGCGTATATTATTGTCACATGACCGAGACAACAAAACCTTACATGGTCTCATTGGTAGCCGCCGATGGTTCAAAGGTTAAGGCCGCGGCTATATGTCACGCTGATACGTCGAAATGGAACCCTAAGCATTTGGCCTTCCAAGTGCTTAAGGTTGAGCCAGGGACTGTGCCCGTTTGCCATTTCCTTCCCGAGGATCACATTGTTTGGGTTTCCAAATAAGTTATATATTTTTTTAATAGTATTTATTATATGTCATGTAATTTAATTTAATTAAATTACCTTTGTTATTTGGTGTGCATACAATAAAATAAATAGCTCTTGTTTATTTGGTAATTTAATGTGCCTCTTTGGCATGATTGCTGTACTTGGCGATATGATGTAATTTCATGGATATATATGTATGGATTACAGATAATATATTTTTAATGTAAAATACTATTATAGTTTTTATATACTTCGTATAGTGCTTTTTTAATTTTATTTATTTATTATATGTTTTATTTTATAATATGCTTTTATTGAAAAACAATAGTTTAGAAAATTAGAAAGGTAACTAAGGGGTGGGATTGTGATAATTAAAATATACTCGTAGAAGATAAGTTCGGTGAAAAATGAACTAATGATAATATTAATAAATGTATTGAATTAATTCTATGTTATTTTGTTATCTAACCTTTTTGTTATAAAGAGTGTTGAGCAATTAGGTTTTGATGATTATAAACTAATGATGATTATCTATCTAACGTGTATGTTAAGTTGTGCATAGAAAAAGCAAATTATGCTTGGAACAGGATACAAGGAACCTGAGTAATGACAGGTATATATGTAAGGAACTTGAGCAATATAGGATAAGCAATAGAGGAACAAGAACAACGATAAGTGTTATGGTTGATAAGCATGATGATGGCTAAGGGACCATGAAGGTAACTATGTAAACATGTGTTTACATATGTTAGCTTCATAAGGTAAGTATCCTATACATATATAGGTTATGTATGTGTAGGAGTCTTTTAATTCAGTTTAGTTTTCTTTATTGTTTTTATAAATAAAAAACTAACCTTCTGTTTTACTTTGTTATTCTCAGAAGTTTGCTCAGTTCGTCATCATCAAAAAGGGACAACTTGTTGATCCTTATGAGGTTTTGATGATGATGTTAAGAATTGAGCAAACTTCCATTTAATAAGGATTTTCTAGTGTTGTGATGTTTGCAGGTTCAGTAAGCGTTGAGGGCTGAAGTAGGAATTGAAACAGAGGAACTTTAGAGGATCCATGAGGATACAAGTAAATTTAGAAGAAGAGTTCCAGAAATGGAACTTCCAGAAGTTTCTTAACAGGAACTTCAAAACGGGTTGTAACGACCTGGTTTCGGTGTAATGCTGGGGAAAACCCTAAGATCCAGAATATATCAAGACTACAGGATTCCAGAACAAGAGTTTCAGAGAAGCAACATGAAGACAGAGAAATAGAAGTATATTGCTCTAGGATTCATGTAAGTATGTTGGACATAAAAGTCGGTCTGGAACAAGTCTATATAGAACCAAGGTGAATTCCAAACAGTCAATGAAATTAGAGTAACTGACTTGTCAGGAACTCAGAGACTGTCAGAGTTCAGGAACCTAATAGGAACTTAAGTATGAACGTCGTTAAAAGTCGGTTTTAATGATATATATATTTACCTTATACGTGCATATCTTTTAGGGATTTGGTTTTACTGAATAAAGATATTTATCTTCTAATAAATCCCTTTTGGAAAAAGATAAGATTGTTTAAAAAGTATTTTAAACAAAAAGATAAGTTTTGAATAAAATCTGATTTTATGCTAAGTTTATCTTATTATTATTGACAGTTTTTATTCTTAACAAAAAGGTATATTTTCGGAAAACTGATTTTTAGAAAATATCTTTTAAACTTATCTTTTCAGAAAATCTATCTTTTTCAAGATGAAATGAATAATTCGAGTGTACTATAAATATGCTCATATGCATTCATTCAAAGTTCAGGCTGACGAAGTGTAGTGGTCGTGCTTAATGGTTTTATCCTTCACCACGAAGCTAAGTCAGTCCTCCTGGTCAAAGTTCCTATCAGGTTTTTGGTTACAATACGTCTAGTGAGTTCCAGACAGATCTTGAGTGTTCAACATATTAGTTTTATACATTATATCTTTTATATGTATTTGAGAGTTGTTTAAGGGTTTGAGTGAACTCTTGTAATGGGGAATTAATAAGGGTTTGAGTGAACTCTTGTATTAGGGTGAGAACTTGAGTGAGTTCTTTGTATGTAGAGAAGGCTTTGAGTGAAGCTTGAGAGAAAGAGAAAGAGTAAGGTTTTGAGTGAAGTCTTGAGTGAGAAGAGAGGTCTTTGAGGGAAGATTTCAAGCTGCAACTATTAGAGGGAATAGTTGTTGGGGATATGAGTTCGTTGAGGAACTCGGTAGAGGCTCAAGTTCCTCATAGGTTGTAACAGAGTCGTTGGCCTATTTTAGTGGAATGTTTTGAGTCAAAATCCCTTTGGGTCGAGGTTTTTCACTTCCTATTTGGCCTAGGAAGTTTTCCTCGTAAAATCTCTCTTGCACTATTTCTCTATTGCGTTAAGTTTCTTTTAATTCCGCAAAAAGTGACTAGCAATCTCCATACTACAATTCACTCCCCCTCTTGTAGTATATCATCCGAAATAACAATTGGTATCAGAGCAGGTGCTCTTGATAAACCGGGTAACCCCGAGGAGCAAGTTCCAGGCTAGGATGGATATCTACAAGGAATGCAGTGAATGGAACTCAACCCTAGAACGTTCCGAATACCACGTGAAGACCAAAGTCTGCTTGTGAAGCAGATGTGATTCAAAGATGAACATCTTTGAGGTAAGTGTCTCGTCTTTGAAGTCTTGATTATATGCATGACATTATGTGTACAAGTTCCTTGTAGTATTTCTAGTTAAATTTTGGATTTTGTTTTGAAAGTTTGCAAATCAATTTTGTGTAACCTCAAATTTGATTTATAGAGTGAAAAGTATTTGTCAGATTTACAAATTGATTTATTTTTAAAGAATCGGTTTACTGGAAATAGTTCAAGGAACGTATTATGTAGAATTATGCATATTTGGTCTCTTGGAACCTGGATTATCCCTGTATGGAAACTTAATTCTTTGGGCAAGGTAATGAACGTATATTTTGAATATTTTCCAAAGAATGACCTTATCATGTGTATGTGTTTTTCTGAATATTTATTATGTAGACACATGATGTTTATTGTTAGTAAAGATAGTTGGTTTAACCGTAGTTGTTTTAATTATGGATTATTAATGTCTATTACTAACATGAAAGTACCCAATATAAATTGGGTAACCAAAGCCAAAAGATGACTGATTTTGCAGGCTAAGTGAGTGGAGACAACTTATTAATAATGATGAACTTTGGTTGTTTGTATATAAGCAATTATGTGCAAATTCCTCTCACTAGAAAGCCTTTATAAGAGGTTTGTAGTAGGTGAATCGACAACATGAATAAGTGTGTAAGTTGCCTATACATCTCTCTGTAAATATTGGTCATGTTCTTTTGGTATGTATTAATCCTTCACAAATTCCAATTGAAATTCAATTCCCTAATCTTATGAAGGTTATTTGTGAATGGATGAAAAGAGAAGTTGTTTGGATGTTTATAATGGATATCATGACAAACTAACTTCTCTTCTAGCTTTGTGCAAGTTATTAATCATTGTTTTGTAGGTTTGTCCATTGAGACAAATTGGTGCGTAAAAGTTTGTTCCATTAGGAGCTCAGTGCTTAAATTGGTTGGAACTTGGTGAACTTGGAATGATAAAACGAATTAGGGATACAGGAATAACAAAGCTTCTATATCAAGGTGCTATAGGAGTTAGCGTATACGTTCCTGTAAAGATTCTTGTTCAAGTTCCAGTTAAGTTCTTATTTGGAACAAAGCATTAATTCCTGTAGCAGACTCTTATGAAGGATAATGAGTTAAGATGATTATCTTTGACTGCGTGTTGGAGATTCATCATTTTGTTGATGGAACGACATCTAAAAGGGAGTATTCTTACAGGAACTTTATGTTTTAACACTTTTATGCTTTAGGTTTTATCTACCTCTTTTGACTAACCTACTGACATTTTAAAGGCACAAAGGAATCTCTTGGGTTGTGAACTTTCAGGTTATATCTTTTGAATGATAATATGAGGGACCTTGACAAGGTGTTGAAGAATTTGAGATTAAATCAACACGTTCCTCTACCCAAGATACAACGGTCTAAAGGACCAGAAGGACATGTTCCAACTTTATGTCAAAAGGAACATGGAAGAGTTGAAGGTTTATAATAGGAGGGAACTTGCATTATCTCGACAGCGAGGATCCAAAAGAGATGATGATAGCCAAATCAAGGTATCTCTTGCTATAAACCTGCAATGGAAGAACTTTGACTTATAATACTAACACGAAAGGTAAAATTTCTACATAACAGGAAGTTAGTAAGTCAAGTTCCTATCCCATTGTGAATATTTTTCTTGTCAAGTTTTTAATGCACATTCTGGTTTTCAATTGCTTGTAACTCTAGTTGTTTTATGGCTTCAAAATGACATCATCAATAAAGAGTGGAAATGTCACATATGAAGGGAGTCAAAAAGGGAACACATCATTTGTGGATCTCAAGGTGATTCCTAACAACAACCTGACATTTCTAGGTTTTATTGAAGATGAGATACCTCTATGCTTCAAACTGTGAACATGTTAATCTTTTCATGCTTGATAAACCTAGTAGGAACTCGATAATAGGTATATGTACATGTAAGTTCCAAACAGGTTAAGATCGAGAAGCATGAGAATGAAACACATGTTACATTCTCTTTCAACATCAGGTAGATGGTAAGCAACACTAATCCATTGGATCTTAGTGATAGGAATATGTTTACCATGTGATATGTAGAGACTAATTGAAAGATATGTCTTGTTTATAAGTAATGAAAGCAAATGAATACTTGGTTAATTTTCTTAACAGAAGAGATGATGAACTGTTTGTTGAAAGTCTTTTCTATCACAGGGTATGTGGCTAAGCGTTCATCATTTATGAAGGTATAGATCTAAAAATGGAACCTAGTTCCAGTAATTGTTGATGTTTGTTGCAGGAACACAGGATTGACAACAAGTTTCCAACTTTGAATCATGAAAGACACGGAGAAAACAAAGTTATATGCTAATGGTCTTTGCAGGTTCTTTGGAATAGTTTTCAATGTCTCTTGCTACATCATCATCACTGAAGCAATAGATCTTTGATGAACAAGACACCCTATGTTCCACTTAGGGATGTTTGATGATATAAGTTCCAAGGCGATTTATCCATAAACGCCTAGACTAGTAAAACATAAAGAGTCTACACTATCATGGTTAATGTGCAATAAATGAACATATTTTGAGACTGACAGGTTTGTTCCCATCAAACAGGTTATAAAAGATGAACTCATGTGTTCTTGAAGAACTAACGGAGTTCCTAATAAAGAAATATGTCACTAAGGATAACAGCAAGGGCTAGCTACATATGTTGAGGAACTTTGAGATGTTAAGTTCAAACTCATGCAACAAAGGTCAATGAACTCAATACAAGAAAGCAAGTTCCAACAAAGTTCCAGAGCTAAGATAATATTTGTTCCGACCAGCAATATCTCAACAAACTATGGAACTAAAGTGTTTTTCATGCATATATATAACCAAAGGGAAAACCTCAACAACCAAGGATCTGAGAAGAGCCCGAGATATCAATCGAAAAGGATGGACTTTATAACTCATAGTTGTATAAAAGATAAGTCTGTTTTTAAGGTTGATGTAAACATGTAATTGGTTGTTATCAGGTTAGATGTGCAGCAGGAACTTAATAAGCTTAAAAAGAAGAAGATGCATGTCACATCCTGAACCTATTCTAGAACACCTAAAAAGGTTCGGAGATTAAAAAAGGTGTTCTGGAAAAAGCTTGTTGAGTAAGGCACGTGAATGGAACAAGGCCAGGTTGGTTCTTAAAAGAAACAACCAATACAAAGGTATGTATTGTCTTTAAGGAACTTGTTGCGTGTGTAGCTAGACTTGAAGCAAATTGAATAATATTTGTTCTTGCTGTTTATATGGGATTAGAGTTGTACCACATGGATGTCATGTATGTCTTGATATGAATTTTTGTAGACGTCTATGTGGAACATACTCTAGGATAGAATCCTATCCAAGTTCCTTCTTGAAAATTGAGTTTTAAAAGTATCAATTTTTGTTTTCAAGATTAACTGAGTTATTATTAGTACTTGTTTACATTGATATATCTCTGGTACTACTAACGAGCCATTGTGAATTGGTTTTTGCTAATTTATGATAAGAAAATATATTTGTAAGATTAACCACTGACAATGGAACTTGAGTTAGAAGTGGAAGTTCATATTAGATTCGAGATCATCAAGGAACATAACAACCACTTCAAGAACTCCAAGGTAAGCCATCATACTCAACCAATGCTTTAAAGTTATATTTTTACTGGTAAGAGACTACATAAGATATAAGTTCCTTTTCACATGTCGGCATTAGATGAATTGAATTGATATTTTTTTGGTATGAATGCAATATGTGAGTTTGTGAATTGATTCTCTTATGGTCTTGTCTTGATTTGTCATATTCTTGTTTATTGCTTAATGGAACAAGACTTGATGAAACATAACACGAGTATAAAGTATTTTTTCCCATAAGTTATGTCAAGCTGGGGTTCCTATGTTATACTTAAAGTAAAGAATATGCGCTTATTTTTTATGTGTCACACTTAGTTCTTGTGTTGTAAAAGACATACTCACTTGCCTAAGAGTATTAGAGGTCTCATAATAGAACTATGGGTGCTGTCAAACACGAAGTTCCTAAGTTGTCAAAGGAACAATGGAAGAAACTTTGATGGAACAAGACAGGTAAGTTCCCAGACCGTTTGTAACTCACTTGTTTAAATTTCAGAGGGAACTAACCTATCTTTTAGCCAACTTTCAAGCATCTACGCCATATATCTTCGATCGCAACATTATTCTACAACTCTAAGTTGTGTGTCCGTGTTGCATATACTTTAATTGTCCCATATTTAGAAAATCGAAGATTCTTATTAACCCAATTCAATTTCCTCTTTCCGTTCACACACTTTTACTTCTTATTCTTAATTCCCATGTGCTCTAAGTTTGTTGATCATCTTTTTATGATTTTTAATGATTTGATGAAACATAAAAAATGGTGATTATATGTTGAGGAGGAAGTTGAAGATAAAGGAAGAAGAATGGTAAGGGACTCAGGGGGAATAAGGTAGGAACCAAGAAATCAAAATGGTTCAGATCTGGTTGTGGAACTCAAGTGTATGAGTGAGTAATATCTTCATTGATTTAAAATGTGTTATTCCAGGAAAGCATGCAAAATTTGTGTAATGACACCCTTTGAAAAAAAAAAAGGAGAAAGAAAAGGAAAAAGGGTGGTCAAATATTTAATTTCCTGGGTATCTATATATGAAGAATGTTGATGTCGTGTACTCGTATACTTGGTGAGCTAGTGAAGGAACAATAATAAACGACGAAGGAACTTGATTATGATGAAACTGAAATCTATTTAAGTTCCAGTATGGAGAATGTTCCTCAAAAAAGTTGGTGGTTAAGGTAAGGGAACTTGGTTATCAATTGGCAAGATGAATATGTGTTGTGTTCAATAGGAGATTCAAGAGTTTGAGATAAAGTACAATGTGGCGGTTCTCATCTCAAAAGGTTTAAACGAAGAGCACAAATTCCACTTCACGTTCCCTCTACTTATTTTGTTCCATATGCTTCTTTATATATCCTTTAAGCTTGCGCTTTAATTGGTCTATTCATGCAATCCATTTCTAACTTTTTAGCTCTGATCTTTACTTGAATTTTAACTTCTTATTTGTCAAGTTCAATTAAGGGTTTTGAAGTTGGGCCTTTGGATTGTGAGTTGGAAGTTAGTGTGGAAATGGTATCCGTGTTTGAAAAGTGAGTACCTTGAGGCTTTTAGGAACAACAAGTGTTTAACTAGTATATACTTACTTATTATATGGTGGTAGGTGTGACATATGACTTTAAGTGCATATAATTTACGAAAAACAAACGTGTGGAACAATACCCTTTTTGATAATGACAAAAGGGGGAAGAATATGTATGATGCTTATGGTATGCAGTAATTAAGTCTAAAGTTATTACATCATGATTGTTGAAAGTATTTATATATTGATAAATGATGTGTATTGCTAAGTTCCTAACTATTAAGTTCTTGTGTATGTTCTTAACTTGTTTAAATGTTATTTCCTTGAAAAACTAAGGGGGAATAAATGTACAACGATTATCCTTTAATATGTGATGAGCATCAATAGTTTGTCATCATCAAAAAGGGGGAAATTGTTGAGCAATTAGGTTTTGATGATTATAAACTAATGATGATTATCTATCTAACGTGTATGTTAAGTTGTGCATAGAAAAAGCAAATTATGCTTGGAACAGGATACAAGGAACCTGAGTAATGACAGGTATATATGTAAGGAACTTGAGCAATATAGGATAAGCAATAGAGGAACAAGAACAACGATAAGTGTTATGGTTGATAAGCATGATGATGGCTAAGGGACCATGAAGGTAACTATGTAAACATGTGTTTACATATGTTAGCTTCATAAGGTAAGTATCCTATACATATATAGGTTATGTATGTGTAGGAGTCTTTTAATTCAGTTTAGTTTTCTTTATTGTTTTTATAAATAAAAAACTAACCTTCTGTTTTACTTTGTTATTCTCAGAAGTTTGCTCAGTTTGTCATCATCAAAAAGGGACAACTTGTTGATCCTTATGAGGTTTTGATGATGATGTTAAGAATTGAGCAAACTTCCATTTAATAAGGATTTTCTAGTGTTGTGATGTTTGCAGGTTCAGTAAGCGTTGAGGGCTGAAGTAGGAATTGAAACAGAGGAACTTTAGAGGATCCATGAGGATACAAGTAAATTTAGAAGAAGAGTTCCAGAAATGGAACTTCCAGAAGTTTCTTAACAGGAACTTCAAAACGGGTTGTAACGACCTGGTTTCGGTGTAATGCTGGGGAAAACCCTAAGATCCAGAATATATCAAGACTACAGGATTCCAGAACAAGAGTTTCAGAGAAGCAACATGAAGACAGAGAAATAGAAGTATATTGCTCTAGGATTCATGTAAGTATGTTGGACATAAAAGTCGGTCTGGAACAAGTCTATATAGAACCAAGGTGAATTCCAAACAGTCAATGAAATTAGAGTAACTGACTTGTCAGGAACTCAGAGACTGTCAGAGTTCAGGAACCTAATAGGAACTTAAGTATGAACGTCGTTAAAAGTCGGTTTTAATGATATATATATTTACCTTATACGTGCATATCTTTTAGGGATTTGGTTTTACTGAATAAAGATATTTATCTTCTAATAAATCCCTTTTGGAAAAAGATAAGATTGTTTAAAAAGTATTTTAAACAAAAAGATAAGTTTTGAATAAAATCTGATTTTATGCTAAGTTTATCTTATTATTATTGACAGTTTTTATTCTTAACAAAAAGGTATATTTTCGGAAAACTGATTTTTAGAAAATATCTTTTAAACTTATCTTTTCAGAAAATCTATCTTTTTCAAGATGAAATGAATAATTCGAGTGTACTATAAATATGCTCATATGCATTCATTCAAAGTTCAGGCTGACGAAGTGTAGTGGTCGTGCTTAATGGTTTTATCCTTCACCACGAAGCTAAGTCAGTCCTCCTGGTCAAAGTTCCTATCAGGTTTTTGGTTACAATACGTCTAGTGAGTTCCAGACAGATCTTGAGTGTTCAACATATTAGTTTTATACATTATATCTTTTATATGTATTTGAGAGTTGTTTAAGGGTTTGAGTGAACTCTTGTAATGGGGAATTAATAAGGGTTTGAGTGAACTCTTGTATTAGGGTGAGAACTTGAGTGAGTTCTTTGTATGTAGAGAAGGCTTTGAGTGAAGCTTGAGAGAAAGAGAAAGAGTAAGGTTTTGAGTGAAGTCTTGAGTGAGAAGAGAGGTCTTTGAGGGAAGATTTCAAGCTGCAACTATTAGAGGGAATAGTTGTTGGGGATATGAGTTCGTTGAGGAACTCGGTAGAGGCTCAAGTTCCTCATAGGTTGTAACAGAGTCGTTGGCCTATTTTAGTGGAATGTTTTGAGTCAAAATCCCTTTGGGTCGAGGTTTTTCACTTCCTATTTGGCCTAGGAAGTTTTCCTCGTAAAATCTCTCTTGCACTATTTCTCTATTGCGTTAAGTTTCTTTTAATTCCGCAAAAAGTGACTAGCAATCTCCATACTACAATTCACCCCCCCTCTTGTAGTATATCATCCGAAATAACAAAGAGGATACAACTATGAAAGATTAAATTAAAGGATCGATGTGACATGTAGCATGAGTGATTTCTATATTTACGAATTATATGTAAATAAAAATAATCGAATTTCACTTGGTTACCTAAAATAGATAGATAAATATGAAGTATCTAATACTAGAATGGATTTGGTCATCCTTATTAGTTATTATTCTCTCCATTAGTCTTAGTTTTAGTTTTTTTTTTTTGTTTTTTTTTTTTTTTTTTGGGAACCATTAGTCTTAGTTTGTTTTCCCTAAAATAGTAAAATCAACTAATATTATTCTGACAATTACATTTGTAACGTTTTTGTGAGCTAAATCTCATCATAGTTACATACTACCACGTGTTTGATCAAATTAGGGAAATTTTAGTTACATTTGTGTGAACTAAATCACAACCTAGTCTTAGTCATGCATTATCGTAAAACTTTCCGCAAATAAACATATGGTTGAAAACCACTCAATACAACTTTTTCATGGCTTTAAATATCCCATTATAATTCACTTCTTACCAAAAAACATAAATCAAAAAGTTTCTAATTAGCTTATTATCGCAATTATATATATATTATATATAAAAAAAGAAAAAATTAGAAAACAAAAAAAGGAAGAGTTTCACCATTCTTTAAATCGATCTTCGTATATCAATTATTATTCAGTTTGAATAATTTTCGATGGAGTTATACATCCTACAGATTGTCACTATTCTTTATGTAAATTACAATATCTTTATTCAGATTAAAAAAAAAAGACTTTATATATCTACTTTTCACTTGACTAATGCGTTTTTTTTTTTTTTTTTTTTTTATTTTTTTTTTCTTCTAACGTTGTTTTGATTTTTGATTTTTGCAGGTAGCAATAACAGCCACCGAAGCAACCTTTATATTTCCAGGAGGACAGTTTGGAAAGAAAGGTATATAATATATAAGATTTACTTGGTAGTTTACTTCAAACTAGCTAATTTAGTAATTTTACTCTCCACATTTTCGATGATAATCTTTCACATTTTGCCAACATTTAATAGAGAAAAAAAAAAAAAAGGATTTAAGCTCTTTGAATATAAAGACACCCCCGTAAAATAATCAATGATAATATTTAATTTATTAATACGTGAATATACTTTACATTTAAGATATTATATCTAACTCTTCATATAAATCTTTATATGCTTTGTCAAACTTCAAGGTGATGCACATTTCGGTGGTAACTTGAACTTTAAGAAGGAAGTTAATAAAGAAGTTCGCGGTAATGGAGGGTTCAACTTTGGTGGACGCAAGGAAGCTTATGGAGCAGGTAAAATAAAAGGACAAACAGAAGCAACAAGTAAAGGCGTAGCACAATTGGGTGCTAATTTGAACTTAGATAAACAAGTGAGAGGCTCAGGAGGATTAAACTTTGGTGGATCTACCTCGACAACCGGTGAAAATCAAGGAGCAATTAAAGGTCAAACACAAATGGGAACCAACTTTAACTTTGATAAAAAAAGTAAAGGTTCTGTAGGCTTCAATTTTGGAGGAAATAAGGATCTGTCAGGTGAAGGAAAAGCTCAAGGGGTAGGGAAAGGCCAAACACAATTGGGTAACAACTATAACTTTAAAAAGGATGCTCATGCATCTGAAGGGTTCGATTTTGGAGGGAGCAAAGAAAAAAATTATCCTGATAGCCAGGCGACGGGGGCACCTCAAGGAGTAGAAAAAAACCAAGCACATTTTGGTGGTAACTTGAATTTTAATAAAGAAGCCCACGGTTCAGGAGGGTTCAATTTCGGTGGACACAAGGAAGTTTCTGGAGCAGATAAAACAAAGGGACAAACAGAAGCAACAAGTAAAGGCGAAGCACAATCGGGTGCTAATTTGAGGTTAGATAAACAAGTGAGAGGCTCGGGAGGATTAAACTTTGGTGGATCTACCTCGAAAACCGGTGAAAATCAAGGAGCAATTAAAGGTCAAACACAAATGGGAACCAACTTTAACTTTGATAAAAAAAGTAAAGGTTCTGTAGGCTTCAATTTTGGAGGAAATAAGGATCTGTCAGGTGAAGGAAAAGCTCAAGGGGTAGGGAAAGGCCAAACACAATTGGGTAGCAACTATAACTTTAAAAAGGATGCTCACGCATCTGGAGGGTTCGATTTTGGAGGGAGCAAAGAAAAAAATTATCCTGATAACCAGGCGACGAGGGCACCTCAAGGAGAAGAAAAAAGCCAAGCACATTTTGGTGGTAACTTGAATTTTAATAAAGAAGCTCACGGTTCAGGAGGGTTCAATTTCGGTGGACATAAGGAAGTTTCTGGAGCAGATAAAACAAAGGGACAAACAGAAGCAACAAGTAAAGGCAAAGCACAATCGGGTGCTAATTTGAGCTTAGATAAACAAGTGAGAGGCTCAGGAGGATTAAACTTTGGTGGATCTACCTCGAAAACCGGTGAAAATCAAGGAGCAATTAAAGGTCAAACACAAATGGGAACCAACTTTAACTTTGATAAAAAAAGTAAAGGTTCTGTAGGCTTCAATTTTGGAGGAAATAAGGATCTGTCAGGTGAAGGAAAAGCTCAAGGGGTAGGGAAAGGCCAAACACAATTGGGTAGCAACTATAACTTTAAAAAGGATGCTCACGCATCTGGAGGGTTCGAGTTTGGAGGGAGCAAAGAAAAAAATTATCCTGATAACCAGGCGACGAGGGCACCTCAAGGAGAAGAAAAAAGCCAAGCACATTTTGGTAGTAACTTGAATTTTAATAAAGAAGCTCACGGTTCAGGAGGGTTCAATTTCGGTGGACATAAGGAAGTTTCTGGAGCAGATAAAACAAAGGGACAAACAGAAGCAACAAGTAAAGGCAAAGCACAATCGGGTGCTAATTTGAGCTTAGATAAACAAGTGAGAGGCTCAGGAAGATTAAACTTTGGTGGATCTACCTCGACAACCGGTGAAAATCAAGGAGCAATTAAAGATCAAACACAAATGGGAACCAACTTTAACTTTGATAAAAAAAGTAAAGGTTCTGTAGGCTTCAATTTTGGAGGAAATAAGGATCTGTCAGGTGAAGGAAAAGCTCAAGGGGTAGGGAAAGGCCAAACACAATTGGGTAGCAACTATAACTTTAAAAAGGATGCTCACGCATCTGGAGGGTTCGATTTTGGAGGGAGCAAAGAAAAAAATTATCCTGATAACCAGGCGACGGGGGCACCTCAAGGAGTAGAAAAAAGCCAAGCACATTTTGGTGGTAACTTGAAATTTAATAAAGAAGCTCACGGTTCAGGAGGGTTCAACTTCGGTGGACACAAGGAAGTTTCTGGAGCAGATAAAACAAAGGGACAAACAGAAGCAACAAGTAAAGGCGAAGCACAATCGGGTGCTAATTTGAACTTAGATAAACAAGTAAGAGGCTCAGGAGGATTAAACTTTGGTAGATCTACCTCGACAACCGGTGAAAATCAAGGAGCAATTAAAGGTCAAACACAAATGGGAACCAACTTTAACTTTGGTAAAAAAAGTAAAGGTTCTGTAGGATTCAATTTTGGAGGAAATAAGGATCTTTCAGGTGAAGGAAAAGCTCAAGGGGTAGGGAAAGGCCAAACACAATTGGGTAGCAACTATAACTTTAAAAAGGATGCTCACGCATCTGGAGGGTTCGATTTTGGAGGGAGCAAAGAAAAAAATTATCCTGATAACCAGGCGACGGGGGCACCTCAAGGAGTAGAAATAAGCCAAGCACATTTTGGTGGTAACTTGAAATTTAATAAAGAAGCTCACGGTTCAGGAGGGTTCAATTTCGGTGGACACAAGGAAGTTTCTGGAGCAGATAAAACAAAGGGACAAACAGAAGCAACAAGTAAAGGCGAAGCACAATCGGGTGCTAATTTGAACTTAGATAAACAAGTAAGAGGCTCAGGAGGATTAAACTTTGGTGGATCTACCTCGACAACCGGTGAAAATCAAGGAGCAATTAAAGGTCAAACACAAATGGGAACCAACTTTAACTTTGATAAAAAAAGTAAAGGTTCTATAGGCTTCAATTTTGGAGGAAATAAGGATCTGTCAGGTGAAGGAAAAGCTCAAGGGGTAGGGAAAGGCCAAACACAATTGGGTAACAACTATAACTTTAAAAAGGATGCTCACGCATCTGGAGGGTTCGGTTTTGGAGGGAGCAAAGAAAAAAATTATCCTGATAGCCAGGCGACGTGGGCACCTCAAGGAGTAGAAAAAAGCCAAGCACATTTTGGTGGTAACTTGAATTTTAATAAAGAAGCTCACGGTTCAGGAGGGTTCAATTTCGGTGGACATAAGGAAGTTTTTGGAGCAGATAAAACAAAGGGACAAACAGAAGCAACAAGTAAAGGCGAAGCACAATCGGGTGCTAATTTGAGGTTAGATAAACAAGTGAGAGGCTCGGGAGGATTAAAATTTGGTGGATCTACCTCGAAAACCGGTGAAAATCAAGGAGCAATTAAAGGTCAAACACAAATGGGAACCAACTTTAACTTTGATAAAAAAAGTAAAGGTTCTGTAGGCTTCAATTTTGGAGGAAATAAGGATCTTTCAGGTGAAGGAAAAGCTCAAGGGGTAGGGAAAGGCCAAACACAATTGGGTAACAACTATAACTTTAAAAAGGATGCTCACGCATCTGGAGGGTTCGATTTTGGAGGGAGCAAAGAACAAAATTATCCTGATAGCCAGGCAACGGGGGCACCTCAAGGAGTAGATAAAAGCCAAGCACATTTTGGTGGTAACTTGAAATTTAATAAAGAAGCTCACGGTTCAGGAGGGTTCAATTTCGGTGGACACAAGGAAGTTTCTGGAGCAGATAAAACAAAAGGACAAATTTAAGCCAAGCGGCAGGGGCAGCCTAAGGGACTTGCCATGGCCAAACTTGCTATAACGGACAATTAACCCGATCAAAGTTGAGAAATAAGTTGGGATTTTTGCATCGATTTTTTTAGTCTAAATGTTGAGGATTCAAGAAGTATAAGCCAAGGGTTGAGCTAAGCATTAGATTAACTCCAAAAGGGGCATGAAAGTCATAAAGTTATAACTCTTGATAATGTCATTTTTATGAGATCGCGAGCTAGTTTAATTATTCAATGAGGGTAGCTAGGTAAATTGAATGTGACCACTTTTATATAAGAGATCTCAAGAAATGAAATTATTAGTGTTTTTTTTTTGTCTTACACTATCTTTTAAATTGAATGTTTATTAAATTTCAATAGCGTAAGTTAAACGATGTCATTGTTCGTTGTACCGGATAATACATGCATTTTTAATTAAATAAATGAACTTATCATGATGTGTACTCCATACATACTTTTCACCCTATTTAACTTACTCTAACATTCTTTCCTCTTAACAAACCACCATTGGCCAATTGCAAGGCCATCACCGGCGATAAAGTCATGTTTATTTGTATTGGTCGTAAATGTTTGGGATTTTTTTTTTCAATGAACGCCTAACAACAACAACAACAATAATATATTACGACAATAACAATATTAACAATAACAATAAGATTAATAATAATAATAATAATAATAATAACATTTATAATAATAATAAAAAAATAACATTATAATTATTATTATTATTATTATTATTACAACAAAAATAACGATCACAACAATAATAATAACAATAGCAATAATAATAATAATAATAATAATAATAATAATAAAATAATAATAATAATAATAGCAATAATAATAATAATAATAATAATAATAATAATAATAAGGCCAAATTAGAAAATAACACCCAATAAAACCCACGATTTTAATAATAACACCAATGAAAAAAAAAAGTTTTATTATAACACCACCAAAAAGCCCAAAATTTTGGTTTCACCACCCACTAACAGATTTTTGGACGGAAATTGTTAGTGGGACCCACCAGGGACACGTGTCAGTTGTTTATTGGTTTAAAAAAAAGAAAAATTTAAAAAAACACAGCCCACCACCAGCACGACCTGCCCCATCCGCCGCTGCCGCCGGCATCCCCTGCCCTCACATAATTCGGCGAAACCAGACCACGCCAAACGCCAGCCTAGCCACCCCCACCTCTATCGAAACCCTAACCCCACCACACCACCTCAGCCGAAACTTAAACCTAGCGAGCAGTCCCTACCACCGCCCCGTTTTCAGCCCCTCTCCCTTTCTCCCGTCTAGTTTTCGCCCCCTCCCTCCATTAGCTGAACCGAAATCCTAACCCCCACGCACCTGAACCGAAATCACTTTCTGATTCGGAGATTCAGAGGAGATAGAAAAGCACTACAAGAAAACAGCTTGATTCCGACGGACAAGAATTTCCGTCGGAAAAGCCAGAAATTCCGACGGAATTTTATTCCATAGGAAATCCGTCGGAATATTCCGACGGAATATAAACCCGTCGGAATATATGGGCTTTCCGACTGAATATTCCGTCGGAACATTCAATTTCCGACGGAAAATATATCCGTCGGAAGTTTTTGACAGATTATTCCGTCAGAACGTTTTATTTCCGGCGGAAATAAAATCCGTCGGAAATTTACGACGGAATATTCCGTCGGAAATTTACGACGGAATATTCCGTCGGAAATTTCCGACGGATTTTATTTATTTTCGACGGAATTATGACTATTAAAAAAAAAACTGAATATAAAAAAAAATTCCGGAACCCTAACCCACCCTTTCATTTCTCTTTTCTCTCTCCTCTCCTCTCTCTCCGCCTCTCTTGTCTTTCTCTCTCCTCTCCTCTTTCCTCTTCTCTTCTTCTCTAAACTCATCCCCCCCTCCTTCCTTCCATCTCCTCCACCCTCTCTTTCTCTCTCTTCTCCTTCTCGTTCTTTTTCCTTTCTTTGTCAGCCACCACGACACCCACGACACCGTCAACCACCACGACACCCACGACACCCACGACGACGCAACCACCACCACAACCCACAACACAACCACCACGACTACCCACGATGTAAACAACATTAATTGTAGATCTATTTTTTTTATTTAACAATTTTGTATATAATTATTTTTTGATTTACTTGTAATGTAATTTTATTAATTTCAGAAGATAACTGTTAATATATTTATTTTGTTTGATTTCAATTTTTTTTGTTTTTTTTTGTCGGATCTATAAATTTATTGTGTTGGTGGTGGTTTTCTATTTTGGGGGTTCGGTGTGGTGGGGTTGTGGTGTTGTCGGTGGTGTTGGGGTGTGCTGTTTTTGGGGTGGTTTCGGTTTGTGGTGGTGTGGGTGGTGTTGTGGTTATAGGGGGTATGTGTGGTGGTGGGTGGTTATAGGGGGTATGTGTGGTGGTGGGTGGTTTGTGTTTCGGGTTTGTTGTGGGTTTTTTTGGTGGGCTGGTGGTGTGGGGGTGGTGGGTTTTTTAGGTGGGCAGGGGGTGGGCTCGTGGTGTGGGGGTGGTTGATTTTTTTGGTGGGCAAGGGATGGTGGTGTGGGGTTGGTCTACGGTTTGTTTTAGGGAGGTGGGGTGGGTGTGGGTGGGGTTGGTCTGGGTGGGTGGGGGTTGTTGGTGGGGGTGGGGGTGGGGGTGGGTGTGGGTGGGGGTGTTGGTGGGTGGTTAGGGTGGTCTGGGTGGGGGATGTTCTGGGCAGGGTAGGGTGGGTGTGGGTGGGTGGATGGGTGTGGTGGTCTGGGGTGGGTGGGGGTGGGGGTTTTTCTTGGTAGGTGGGGCGTTTTTTTTTATTTTTTTTATTGAATTTTCCGACGGAAATTTCCGTCGAAATATACCGTTTTCGACAGAAATTTCTGTCGGAATATTCCCCTTGCGACGGAATATTCCGTCGGAATCCACTTCATCTCCGACGGAATTTTCCGTCGGAACTTTGCGACAAAATTTCGGTTAAAGTCAAAACCAGCTTCAACAGAATGTATTCCGTCGAAAATTCCTTCGGAAAAGGGGCTTCCGACGGAATTTCCTTCGGAAGACGTTGAATTACCTACAAAGGCTGTTCCGAGAGACAGTTTCGGACGGAATTCTGTCGGAAGGCCGTTTTCCGACGAAATTTCCCCTTTTTTTGACGGAAAAAATCCGTCGGAATTCAGCTGTTTTCTTGTACTGAAGGAGGATCGTGGGTAGGAGGAGGAGCGGTGGTCTGCGTCGGGTCTTGGGGTTTGGTTGTGGGTCTGAAGGAGGCGAAGGGGCTAAGTGGTTTTCGCGGAGGGTTGTGGTGGGTGGGGGTGATTTTTCAGGGAGAAGGAAGGGGGAAGGGGATTTACGGGGGGGGGGGTGATGTTGGTGGGGGTGACGGCCGGTGGTTTTGCCAGTGAAGGAAGGGAATCCGATGGCAGTGGGGGTCTCCGCCGATGGTGGGGCTGGTGGCTGGGTTAGAGTTTAGGGGTTTTTCTTTTTTTTTAATTAATTTTTATTTTTATTTTAACAACAACAACAACACATATATTTCATATTATAGGTTATTGCATCTACAAAATCCACCTTTTCTTAATCTCCTCGACAATCGACATTGTGAAAATTGCAGCAGCAAAAATCCTCCTCTATTGACCCCATATCGGGTTTGGGATAGACGATGAATGCTAAAACTTATCTATCGTCGTGTGTTACATTACAGGTTGGGCGTTCCTATATTCTTTATTTCAACACCATGTTTTGCTTGCTCCAGGATTTTCAAGGGGGTTATATTTGGTGATCATGTGGTGTCGTGTGCTGACATTGTGGGTATTAAACATCGGCAAAATGTTGTTTGGGATACCTTTGTTGATGTTTGTTATCGGTCTTAGGTTTTGGTAAGGAAAGAGGTTGATATTGGACTGTCTGGATCGGAGGGAACGACAGAGCTCTCCGACTTGTAGATGTGTTACACTATTCTTGGGATCGGGGTTGTGATGTGTGTGTTGACTTGACAAGATCTTCTCCTTTGACCACAAACTGGGTTGTCTAACTTTATTCCAGGCCAGGTTGTGACTAATGCGGCTAATCGAAAGCGAGTCAAGTACGAAGAAAGTTTTCGGGCAATTGGTTATGGTTTTCTTCCTTTCTATTTTTCTTCTCTTAGGGAACTAAATAAGGATGTTGTTGCGCTGTTGAAGTAGTTTTAGAAGTTCTTTAAGGCCCAAGACATTTGGGCTAGTGTTGCTGCTCATATCTTCACCAAGATTGACTTTGCTGTAGCTAAAGAAGTGGGGCCCAGATTTTATCTAGACTTCCCACTAATTTTTTATAATTTTATTAACTTTGTTTTAATTTGCATTTGAAATAACAACAACTACTACAACAATAACATTAATAATAATTCAAATTAGCACACACACATATATAAAACACACACATAACAACAATAAAAACAATCACATACACACACCTTGAATAGAATAATTAAAAGGTCCAATATATAAGGAAACACACACACACACACATATTAGCCTATCAACCCTCGACCTCTTTTGACCTTTTCCTTTATTTTATATAAGAGTATATACAACGTACATAACATGAATTGAAGTATTTATCATTGTAGGAAAATTTTCAAATTCAACTTTGAGCTCCACTGTGATCATGTTTTTAAGCATGGTGACGTCCAAAGGGAAGGAAGCTAAAGATAAAAGAGTCGCCAACAAGTTTTATGAACTTGTAAACCGTTCACAGGTGTGAAGGTTACACCCCATTCACGATCACGGAGATCGCTAACTCCATAGTGGTCCGGAACCATGACTGTATATTCGGGGATGATGGTACAAATCCAACCTAAAAAAGATTGAACCCGCCCTAAATCGACCTCTACTTAATTCTTATGATATTCATGTGTGCTTTTCGATCAACATACAATCAATAAATTATTCCTAAGCATATTTAATCTACGTTGGTTGATTATTAATACATCACAATCAAATCTATTATTGGTGATCACTTGAATTTAAATCACATTAGCCTAAACCAAATTATTAATTGTCTTATTAAACGTGATTTCAAGTACAAATTCCCTTTAAACCTGCAAGAAAGGGCGTGATCAAGCAATAACAATAATGTCATGAATAATCAAGCAACATATAATTGTCACAACAATCATCATCATAATATCATCATCAAAACATGATTAGCAAGATCCTAGGCATGATACTAAACAGATTTATAACAAACTAACTCTAGCATATCACTAATAAAAAAGATCAAAGCTTGAGCCTAAACATGATACTAGAAAGCATAATAACATCCTAACATGACACTATGAATTAAAATAATATTCTAAGCATGATTGAATTACTCACTTTGATGTCTCGTATCTCTTTCTA